AATTTCTAAATCACACTACTAATTTGAATAGTGCGTGTATTATAGAGCCAATGCACATACTTTAAAAAAAATTTAACAATTGTAGGATTTACAAGTGGGTTTGTGAGTAATTTGTGAAGGGTAAAAAATTAGTGAGAGAGAGAGAGATTACTTAAAAGTTTAACATATTTTACTTCAAAAAAGATGTAAAAAACCAAAAAAGGGTTTCTCATAAAAAAAATAATAATAATAATAAAAAAAAAAAAACCTTTTCTTTTTTTCCCCTAAGGCAATCTTTCTTTATTTATTTATTTTTTTTTTTGACAAAAAATTCACACATTAACTTCCCTTACATCTTTCTCAATCTCACTTTGAAAAGTGAAAAAAGTATAACGACTATGACGATAATCTCCTCCAAATGAAGAAGGTAGATGATAATGTAATATCTAAACTTTTAGTGTGAATGCGTGATCTCTTTTTCGTTAAAAAGGTCACAAATAAATGGTTTTGAAATACTATATTAAGAGGATGATGACTTCTATCGTCGTGGATAGCAAGTATTAATTTCTCCACCTCCTTTAAAAATGAAACAATGCAACTCCAGTTTTATCGACATCTTCGTGTTAAAATTAACTTCTCAAATAAGATATGCAACTTAAATTATTTACTTTTCTTTTTTAATTAGTAAAGAACTAATTTTGATTTTTTTTTTCCTCCAAAAACACGTACACTCATTACTCATAACAATATCCCTAATGGAGGAAGATCATACTATTTGGACTAAACAGGTTGAGACCAAAATGTACCAATTTCCTCTACCACTCCATGTTTGTTTTCCAAAAAAAAAGTAAATAAAAGAAAAAAAAAAAAATTAGACCTATTTTTGTTATTTGATTTCTGACAATAATTTAATTTAATTTAATTTAATTTTTTACTTTAAATTTTTTACGCCTGTTACATAGTGTAACATGCGCTTTCGAACCATTTATATACATATATTAATAAATAATTAGATACGCTTGGTGCACGATGCAAATGACGGAATAAAAATTTTCTCCCAAATTACAGCGTCTCAGCTTGTTTTGATTACTTTTTCCGCGTTCCACATCACATTACAGGTATATTTGACATTGACAAGTCAGAATCAGAATCTTAAAATGGCCAAACTTAGTGTAAAATTTTGAAATATTTGCTATTGCATTTTTGTCGACTACCAAACCTTTGAAAAATGAAACAAACTTCTTTTGTTGTTTTGCTAATCATAAGTCCACATTTTGAATGGTAGTCTATCCACCAAAATTCAAGGGTTCATTTTTCAAATGCTCAGTCAAATCTGGCATTTGGGCCTTGACAAGTACAAACTGTCAGTTGTTAAACCCACGAAATCATTTACAGATACACAAAGGACAACTTAGGTTTATTGTTGTGCATGCCTTTAAACCCTATTTATTTTTTTCATAATTCAAGTTGGTATACTACTCCTACTATTTATGTATTTAGTAGTACATATATGAACTCAAATCAGACACAAATATGATGGGAAAAGGAAAAAAAATTCGAATTTGACAGCCAATAAGAGCATTCTACTTATCACGTCTATAGAGATAAAAATTACTTTTATTTTTCTCACTATGCAACGTATAATTTGAACTGTATTCGACCATACTCCTAAATGATATCAACTAGTATGATATTACAAAAAATGATGAAATATTCACATGCCCAATTTTATACGTATGCATGGCAGTACTAAAAACTTATGCTAGAGAGTACTGCAGTAACTTAAATTTAGTATAAATTAAATTTTCTCAAATTTCAAATTCAAAACACGTGCTCCCAAATTTAAATATCCAAAATGTATCCCACACATGCTTCAAGTTCATGTATCTATTTGGATCAGATCACCTTGATGGGCAGAGGCTTTGGCCCATAAAGATGAATTAAATCTCATCCAAAATCTTTTTATTACTGGGCTTGAATTTGAGATTGATATCAACAAAGGCGGAGCCAATTAAGGTCCACAGGGAGCACGTGCCCTCTGCCCTTGTTGTATTTGTTTGGACCGGATCACCTTGATGGGCAAAGAATTTGGCCCATAAAGATGAATTAAATCTCATCCAAAGTCTTTTTATTACTGGGTTTGAATTTGAGATTGATATCGACAAGGGCGGAGCCAATTAAGGCCTAGAGAGGGTACGTGCCCCCTGTCCTTGCTCAATACATAGGTACATATTTTTGCTATATACATATATTAATATGGTAATTTTAAATAGTGTCCCCTTAAAATTTTCAAATTATTCTAATTTCTTATTATTATTTTTTTAAGTTGCAAAAAAAAAATAAAGTTACATATATCTCCCTTTTCAAGTACACCATATATTTTTTCCTTTTCTAATTTTTGTTTCCTTTTTCAAAAATGTTCTTTTTTAACTTGTGTATAATTATGTATTTTTCTATCTTTTCTACTTATTTGTTTTTATCGATGATATTTGTGATTATATTTTATTAAAATATTATTAATTGTTATTTTGATTCTTATATTTGTAATTATATTTTTCTTTTGAATGATACTTAGGTCATCACTAATGATGTGGATTAATAATAAATCACCATCTATGTGATTTAGTTGTGATTTGGTAAATGTATATTTACCCATTATAATAAATCACCAATTCTGTGAAGACATGCCTATTTATTATTGGCTCACATCACTAGTGAGGATGGTGTAGATCACTAGTGAGGAACTAAGTATTGCTCTTTTTTTTATTTTATTTTTATAGTATTTATTTAGCATATTATTTTACAATTTTTTTTTTTTTTCTTTTTTGTCTTTTGATTTTAAAAAATTATATTTGTCATAGTTATTATTATTATTATTATTATTATTCCAACAAGTGCAGTATGCCCTTTCTGAAATAAAATCCTCCGCCCTGTATCGAAGGAGTGCTAGACTGCTAGCCTATCTCAGATTCTCAACCCATTATTTATTGCATGTTTAATTTTGCTTGTCAAGTTGAAGGAGGGCACATCAAAAGCTTGTACTACTCAACGGAAATTAGAATGCTCTCTTTATGAAGAACGAATTAAACCATACCACTTTATATATGCCTAAACTTTACCATGGATGGTGTAGACATGTACAAGTTTTAACAATCCAATGATTAAGATCAAGATTTTCTTTTTTTTCCCAAAAATTTCTAGACTTTCACAAATATTCGATCTCGACTATTCGAAAATAATCATGTACAAATATCGTATAATTATAAGATCCGGTGCAGTATAGACTATTCATGTAGTCATCAAAGGTGTTTCCAGTGTTGCATAGAAGAACCATTTGAATTTAAAAAAAAAAAAAAAACTGTGACTTACATGAGATGGTGAATAAAAAGATATTTAAGAAAAATAATATTCACACTCCACTTCATATAATGCTTTTTTTTTTTTAGTTTATTTTATAAATGACAAAAATATGTCTTACATGTAAGCTTTATTTGTTTAGACGTAAAATATTTTTTAAGAAAATATTTTTTTTTCAGGTAAAAGATTTCTTTTATTAGTTTTATTATTTTGGTATTTGGCAAATATCTAAGGTTGAGTTTGAAATTGAGGTCGAGTCTATCAAGTGAGACATGTAAAATAAATTGATGAATAAGTTATTTTTGTTAATTTTTAATAAATTTTTTTCTTGGTAAATATTTTATAACAACCAAACACCACAAAAAATAAAAAAATATTTTACCCTCAAACAAACGGAGTTGTAGTCTAAGTTGGGACAACAATATCATTTTATTTTAAAGCCGAGTAGGTACGTACCCATTTGTTTTGTTCTTATTTATTCATTTATTATTGAAACCGAATCCAAAACTGACACATCATGTAGCCATTTTAGCCAAGCTCTGCATAATTCAATGTCTAAACTGAGTATTATTTTTCCTGCATGCATATTGAGTATAGGCTTCAATTTCAGCTAAGCTATTCAATGTTTAAACGGCAAAGCTGAAAAATATATATGCTTATGCTAATTGGATGTGTGTGTGTGTGTGTGTGTATAAATATAATATGTGTTTGTGTGGATGCTAGTAGAGATGGGAGGTATGAACATGAACTAATGAATTATTGGAACATTTAACTTGAAGTGGAGCTGCTAATGTGTAGTAAATTTGGTACTGTAAATTGGAATGAAGATTTGGAAAAAAAAACAAAACAAAATTGGAATGAAAATTGGACATTAGTTGTGTAAATAGTTTGCATGTGTCCACACATATACATACACTCAAGGGCAGATCCAGCCTTTCTAAATGGGGTGGACTAATTTTGGACTGGGCTAACTTTGGACTGGGCTACCAGCCCACCCTTGGATAGGGATGGTAACGGGGCGGGGTGGGGCGGGGATTCCATTCCCTTTCCCCATCCCCATCCCCATCCCCGATACAATTTTCATTCTCCATCCCCGCTTAAAATTTTGCCAAAATCTCCATACCCGCCCCCGCCCCCTACACCTTATCCCCGTCCCCGCCCCGCCCTGCCCCCGGCCCCGGCCTCATAATTTTTTTTATGAAAAAAAAACACATTTTTTCTTATTTTCATATATATATAATAAATCTAATTTAATAATAAATTATTATATATAAGGGTATATTAGTAACTTTACACTTAATCACGGCAGGGCAGGTTTACTACATCCCCGCCCCCCGTGGGGATTCATAATTTGTCCCCATCCCCGTTTAGCTAAAAGGATCCCCATCCCCGCTATAAACGGGGTAAGGCGGGTCCCGGCGGGGATAGGAAATTTGCCATCCCTACCCTTGGATCCGCCCTTGCATACACTACATGTATAAAAATCTACATTATGCATTCATCGTCCATGATGCTAGTATGCTTTTACCTTAATGTTGAGAATTGGATACTAAATGGGCAATAGTCCCTCTTCTCCCTGAGGAGGTCCGTATTGCAGCCTTAAAAAACATATATGAGTGCCTGTTTGCTTTTAACTTCCGAAATAAATAAATAATAATAATAATAATAATAATAATAATAATAAATGGAGGTGGGGGAATTAGCTTTCATTCTTTGATATGACTCTGGACATGTATTTTGGCAATGGATTGATTAAAACTTGAAATCTGAGTTCCTTTCTAGACTGTCATGCAATCAAGTGAAACTTTCTCAGCCGTTGATTCCTCTCATCGCTACTCACATCTCATCTCAAAGTGCATCAAAACCAAACACCTCACGCTAGGGAAGCTCCTGCACTCACACTTTATCAAAACCGCACTAACCCTTAACTTCTTCTTCTCCAACCGCCTCATAGACATGTACTCCAAATGCAATTCCATAGAATGCGCCCAGAAAGCTTTCGATGATCTTACAATCAAAAACACCTTTTCATGGAACACAATCTTCTCAGCATACTCTCGTATTGGTCAGCTCAATAAAGCTCGCCAACTGTTTGATGAAATGCCTGAACCAAACCTTGTCAGCTATAATTCACTCATTTCCAGTTTATCCCATCATGGGTTTTACAAGGAATCGATTGGTGTGTTCCAAAGATTGCTGAAACAGTATGATAATGTGTTGATTGATGAGTTCACTGTGGTCAGTGTAGTGGGTACTTGTGCTTGCTGCAATGCATTAGAGTTGTTACGCCAGGTTCATGGATTTGCAATTGTGATTGGATTGAGGTTTAATACTGTGATGTACAATGCTTTGATTGATGCTTATGGAAAATGTGACGAACCAGATACTTCGTATTTAATTTTCAGTCGAATGCCGGGAAGGGATGCTGTTTCGTGGGCTTCCATGGTTGTTGCTTATGCCCGGGCATCTAGATTGGAAGATGCCCGTTGCATCTTCTATCAAATGCCAACCAAGAATACGGTTTGCTGGACTGCCTTGATTGCAGGGTTTGCGCAAAACGGAAAAGGAAGTGAAGCTCTTGGTCTTTTTGACCAAATGCAGGAAGAAGGTGTCCTACCTAGCTCCTTCACGTATGTCAGTGTTCTAAGTGCTTGTGCGGATCTAGCACTTGTGGAAAAAGGGAAACAGATTCATGGGCATATCATTAGGATTAGCAGTGCAACCGATATTTTTAATGTGTTCGTGTGCAATGCTTTAATTGACATGTATTCCAAGTGTGGTGACATGAAATCGGCAATAACACTATTTGAGATTATGCCGGAAAAGGATATTGTTTCTTGGAACTCAATGGTGAATGGTTTTGCGCAGAACGGATACTGGAAGGAGTCACTTCTGATTTTCAGAAGAATGATAGAAGCGAGCACGAAACCCAATCATGTCACATTTCTTGGAGTGCTGTCTGCATGTAACCACGCAGGTCTGGTATGTGAAGGACTCCAAATTGCAGACTCAATGGAAAAGCATTATGGTCTTAGACCAAGACCAGAGCACTATGCGATATTGATTGATTTGCTCGGAAGAAAAAACAGACTCATGGAAGCAGTGGAGTTGATTGAAAGAGCTCCCAGAGGGTCCGATCATGTTGGGATGTGGGGTGCACTTTTGGGTGCTTGTCGGGTCCATGGGAATTCTGATCTTGCTAGAAGAGCAGCAGAGGCTCTCTTTGAGCTGGAGCCTGAAAATTCTGCAAGATATGTTATGCTGTCCAACATTTACGCTGCAGCTGGTAGATGGGACGATGCTCGTGGCTTAAGAAGGTTGATGGATGAAAGAGGGCTAATGAAAGACGCGGCTTATAGTTGGATTGAGGTAAGGAATACCAGACATGAGTTTGTAGCTAAAGACAAGTTCCATCATCAGATAGAAGAGATATATGAATTACTACATAAACTGCTAGATCATATGAAGGATGTTGAATATCTACCCCCTCAATGACAACTCATTTTTTCCCAAAGTGTCTGATTTGATGCAGTAGATGGTGAACAAACTTTGTAGTAGCTTAGAAGCTTTCTGATTAACCTGGACGCAGTAACAGAAAGCTTCTCGATACTAAATAATACTGGTTACCAGGGGCGGAGCTAGGATTGCAAAGCAGGAGGGCTAAAAATAATTAAACCTGTGATTGCTTAATGTGTCATTCATGCTCTAAATACATAATTATCATGCATCAATTATTCAATTAAACTTAATAATTTACAACCTTCTAACACATTTACACTTCCAAACTCTAACGTATTTTCACAGTCAAGAATCTATTGAAGTTTGCTTCATATGAATATTAAAGCAAACAAATACAAGAATACAAGATTTATATGTTTCTTATCAATAAATTCACATTAGAAAGTAAGACTTATGTACTTCGCCCCTGATTAGTTATTAATCCATTATATAGTAAATTACACAATTTAACAAGAAATTATCAAGTCATCAACAAAGCGTTTTTTTTTTTACAAAAATAAAATTCAATATTTCACTGGATTGACAATAATAATCCATGATATCCATCCACCTATGCCTTAGTGCCTTACACACGAAAAGTTTAGATCTTCTTCGATAGACTAACAATGTGTTTGATTTACTGGGTTGGGCCCTATTATATTTTATTATGGTTTATTTTGTGATTGTGCATGTCTATGGTTCGTGAGCTTGCTCATATTTAATGTTTGACCTTTGTAAATTTTATAACTCTTTTTACTTATAGAAATACTATGGATTGAGCTGGGTTAATAGGAAGAGGAAGAGTAGTACATGGGCTTATAGGAACAATAGTACTAAATTTTTTTTTTCAATTGGACCTGGGCTATAGCCCATTACTAGTTCCTCCCTTGCTGGTCACACGAGTGATGCTGTTTGCTTCTCAACGTTGGATCACACGAGTCCTACATTCATGCAATCTAACAGTTAAGGCGCGACTATCACTAACATTTCTCTTAGTATATATACATATATTTATACCCCCAACCGAACAGTCAAAGCGCGGTTGTCACTACCACTTTTTCCTTATTTTTGCACACTAATTTTGTCTAGGTTTGCCAATATTTGAAAATATTCTTGTTGGTCCTTTTGTTCAACTTCATTTCCATTCATAAAGATCAACCTCAGCTGATATTTCAAGTCTTCATGAACTGTTTCTGAAAGATATTGTTGATGAGCAGCATATCTTAATTGCAAGGAGTTCAACATCCAAATGCCATCAAAACCACGGTTAAAAGGAAAATTACAAATAACCATATTAACCGATGGAAGTGATAACAATATATTAAAAACCGAGGATGCAACACGACTAATCAAGAATACAAGGCCATTAACTCAAGGATCTTTATTTTAACGCCATTAGGTCGAAGATGCAAGACAATTAGGAACAATGGCGTTGCATCTTCGATTTAATGGCGTTGTGTCCTCAATTAATCGTGTTGCATTCTCGATTTAGTTGTGCTGCAGGTGTAAATTACACTACAACATAAAACTCATAGAGGATTTGGATCCTACCAAAAGACCTACAAACCATATATACTATCTATTATCAAGCCACCACTAGCAGCCATGACTGAAGAGAAAACCTAATCCAACCAACACCTGCCTCAGTGACCAAATGGGCAATAGCTCAATTGGAACAAGCCCTCCTCCCAAAAAGAAAGTTTGGTGTTTGAGTCTCAATGAAGACATGAATGTGTGCACGCAAGCTTAACCTTCCGGGAAAAAAAAAAAAGGTCTTATGATAATGTGAACGGAAGGTCTCTTAGATTGTTTTTGTTTGTACACACACATATAATTGGTATCATATCATATATTTGAAATGCCTAAGCACTAAACTATGCCCTCCATGTTTGCAGAGACATATGTGCAAGATGGGTGAACCAAACTACCTACATCTCAAAATGACTTGCCAATTAAATGAATATTTTGCATTGCTACACATCTCATAAACTTGACAATTAACAAAGGCACTTGACTTTGTTCAACTTGTAATCTAGCAAGTAAATATGCAAGAGTTCTATATAATCTATGAAGCTGGACTTCACATAAAAGATGAATGTATATACAAATATTACATTATTATTCATTTCCTATATATATAACTAAGACTCAGATTATTCCCAAAAAAAAAAAAGAAAAAAAGAAAAAGAAAAAAGAAAACCCATATTGACCCAATTATTCAACTTTTATTAATTCCAGGATCCACATATCCTGGCAGAGTTAGTGAATAGTACTGCAAAATTGTAGAAAGCTTCACTGAGCAAAGCTGATTAAATCCAAGATTGGATAGGATAGTTGCATTTGAATGAATTCACACCATTGATATGAGCAAAGATATTTGAAGAGATGTCATCTTCTTCTTTCACTACTACCTGTCGGGGAAAAAAAAAATAAAAAAATAAAAATAATGAGATAATATATATAGAAATTATTTGAGTATATTATTGAAAACAGTACATATGGAAGCTTTTATTTTTTTATTTTTTATTTTTATACATATGTAAATGACCATAGCTTATATATATATAAGGATGAGATTAGTCTTACATCTTCATCTGTGTCCTCTTCATGGTTGCTACAAGTGGTTCTTGGATTCTCTCCAAATTCATCGTTCTTTGCAAACCGTCCTCTAACTCGAGGTCTGCTGTCTGCTAGTGTTTTCCGGCATGCATACTGTGTATACGCTTTCAATTTCAGCTAAGTTGTTCAATGTTTAAACCATAAAACTGAAAAACATATACGCTTATGCTAATTGGATGTATGATGTATGCATGTGTTTGTGTGGATTAGTAGTGATAGGATCAGAGGAATGACCATGAATGAATTATTGGAACATCTAGTTTTATGTGGAGCTGCTAATGTATATAGTAAATTTGGAACAGAAAATTGGAATGGAAATTAACCACCAGGCCACTAGCACGGTTGCTATGATCTCTCCTCTCCAAAGGGTCTATAGTTCACGCCCTGCTTGGTGTATGTTGTGGATGTGTTCGTTTGCCCTTTCCGGTAAAAAAATAATCGAATGGAAAAGGGATATTAATTGTGTAAATAGTATGCATGTTCCAAGCCTTTTGATGCAGATTTCTCCACACAAATACATACTCTACATTCATAAACATCTACATTATACATTCATGATACATCGTGCCTACACAGTATATACAATCGTGTGTGTGGAGAGAGAGAGGGAGCGAGACCTTGATTTTCTTGCTGAAATTCCTCTCATTCCTTTTCTTCATGTATCTATGGATCTTCTCTTTCCTCTGTTCAACGGAGAGTTTCCCAACCTTGAATGTAGAATCTTCCAAACTCGAGATCTCTGATGCCAAAGGAGTAGAACTCCCATTCCCATTCACAAGATGTTGACTCTCATTACTAAGAGCCTTCCCAAAGAATTACGATGAACACAAATTCAAAGAAGAGTTTAAATTAGTATTCTAAATATTGAAAAACACAGAAACTTAAACCAACCAAAAAAAATTGCAGCCCCCAAAAAACTCCAATCACGAATAAGAACGGCATTTTTCTTCAGAATTAAAATTTTACTTCACCATCGGTCTTTCTACCTTTTCCATTGCTAATCTCCATTTCCAAACACAATCTAAAATTTATTTACTATTATATAAATCAGTACTTGCTCACCAAGTCCTTAATGGACAGAACATGACAGGAATTGAACCAATTAATCTATTTTTCAATTTTTAAAATCGATGAAGCAAACTATTCTATTTGACGCTCTGAAGAAGGACAAGAATCCACAAACATTATGAACACACACACACATGAAAATAATGTTTAATGGACTGTAGCAAGCACCTGTAGCTCGGTAGAGTTGATTATCTGTGGCAAAGGTTCGAGACAGAAAATTCCACCATTATCTCCTTGATATTCCAACTCTTGAGTTTGGAGTTCAGTCCCCATAATCATACTTCCATTGAAAATCCCGGAATTTTCAGCAGATAGCGCAGCATTCAGATTACCGGGGAGGTAAGGCCCAATCGTGTGATCAAGAAAAGAGCAAGAAGGCGATGAGGGGTTCAAGCGCACGTAAGAAGGCATCGAAGACAAGCATTCCTCTTCATAAACAGCAGGTAATGTTGGCCCCATAAGCGGGACAACAGGGTCAGGAGGGTATGGTGTGAGCCCATTAACTGGGATTTGAGATTGCAAAGAAGAGAGATCGAATTGATCTTGTTGTGCAGTCAAAAATGGAGGAACAGAAAAAGGCGGAGAAGGGGAAAAGTCTATAGAAGCCGAGATGTCATTTTCAATCTCCTCCGGGGAGTCAAAGATTACAGAGAGGTTGCTATTGTTGTTGTTAGTGGAAGTAGGGGTTGTGGTGGAGGTGGTGGTTGTGGTGGAGGCGGTAGTAGTGGTGGTGATGGTTGGCACATTAACAGTGCCATTTTTGTCTAAGGAGCTAATAAATTTTATGTCTGGAGCAAAAGAAAGATTTGTGGTATAGGAAGAGTTTTCTTCATAGCAACAATTAGAACTTGAGGCAACTTCAGAGTTTTGCAGTGTTTCCGGGAATAAATCAGGGTCACAAAAGTCGAAAATTTGAGCACTAAGAGGGCTCGAAATGTCTTCCTGCAGAACAAAAACAACTAATTAGATCATGAACATGAAAATCAAATGATGACTAGCTACAAAGATTACGCACAACCTTTTCTCTATGCACATAAGTAGCATACTTCTTCATATTTCAGTAATGTATAGTACTACTGCTCTTGTCAAATTGAATTGGGATATATCTAAGTCTTATATACCAATCACCTCCATGTTTCTGATATGAAATATCAAGATCTCCGAAAGACAACCAAATAATTACAAACATATATATATTCCCTAAGCTGACTTTTTTTATGTGCATACAAGACTATATATAATGCATCCATATCAATATATATTTGGTATATCTATCTATATATATCTCCCAAAAGATTATATGAATGTATGGGAATCTACATGGGCATTTTATTTTGCACTTTTGTTACAAGAAGACATTTGATATCTTAAAGAGGATGATCTATTGATGGGTATTTTGTGCAAAGTAGGAAAGGATGTGAATTAGTGCTCCATGTGACCTGTAAAAACTAGGGCACCGAACGAAAACAAAAAAATGAATATGATAAACAAAGAAGGAAGTTGAGGCATTATAATTTTGGTGAAAGATATAGCAATATCCAAATTTGTACAAACACCGGGAACTTCAGAGCACTCAAATAAACATTATGTCAAGCATGTGATGTGCTCTGCCATTTGGTTCCTTCCATCAATCTAAATGAACAAAAAGAATCAATCTTATTAGAAAAAACTAAGCTAAGGTTGAAAGATACTATTCCATACTAATCAAAAGAAAAGTGGAAATAACCATAAGGTGAATTCTTTATCACAAAGTGTCCTTGGGCAATGGCTTTGATAGTATCACAAACCGCGACTTTCAATCAATTAGAGAACTACACCAAAACAATGCAGCACTTTGTAATATCTTTGGGAACTCAAGTAAGTCCAAATGTAATCAAGCATTTCGAAATTCGATTTTTTTTCCCTAAAAAAGAAAAGTAAAATTAGGTTTATTTTCTTATTTATCATGTGGAAAATTAATCTTCAACTATATTGTTTAAAGCAAATCAAGAAACAAAATTGAAGGCAAATTAAAGAGAATTAGGCACAACAAGTATTGAAGAATAACACAAAACATATATTAAATGATAACATGACAAACATATGATGTGTCATTGCTTTAAAAAGCATCTCATAAATCATCAAGAATGAAGAAATGAACCCTAACAAAAAGGGAAATTTAAAAATTCAGAACTCTGTAAATTAATGTGGGCTGGATTTTTAAAAGAACCCATTGACAAATTTGAGCCCCAGAACCCAAATAAAAGCAGCATGCATATACACACATATACATACATATATATCTGAATGAATGAATTTGTAAATAAAATAAAACATAAGAAACAATATATATATATATATATATATATATATATATTAGAATTGGAACAATTACAATGGGAAGTTGTTCAGGCTGAGGAATAACGTCCTGCAACATTGTTTGCTCCGGTGAATCCACGAAACATTTAGCTCGATCTCTCACATAATTTGCTTAATTTCTTAATTAATTTAATACCCTTATCGACCTAGCTTCAAACCCATGACTGAAACCAATGGAGATGAAAAAAACTCCATCAATGACAAAGAAAGACTTTTAGAGAGAGAAAGAGAGAATACATAATATATACATATAGAGAGAGAAAGACTATTTTTGAAGGAGGAGGGGGGACGTTAGCTGTAAAAATGGTTTGAAGAGAGTTTGTTATATAGGGTGTATGGGATGTCCGTACGTCGCCGTCAGCTTGGGCAAACCCGGAGGTGTCGCTGGACCATTCATTGACTCTCTGTCTACGTGTCAACCCATGGTTTTTTGACAAGTGGCACTCATCCTACATGGAACATGGCACGTTGCTGACTTGGCACAGTACAGCTATAACGGTCGTGCAGAAATTGGGTTGACCAAGCCTCAGCCAATTTCCTCGCCGATTTTTTATTTATTTTTTTGTTTTTTAAAAATAAAAACTAGAAACTGAAATTCTTGTTTTTAGAGTGAAGTTCCAGAAATAGCCCCGGGTTTTGTGGTGGAAGCTAGCAGACAGATTTAGCAAGTTCATGCATGTTTTTCTGGATAACCAATAATTATCATAGTAAGAAAGCTCGATAGTACTATATAAACAAATGCTTTGCTATTTAATTATATAGTGATATTTTATATCTACATTTATTTCTATATAACAATGCAATTTACTTTGAATTCTTTGTCTCTCTCATCTCTTTATCTAAATTTAACTTATTGATAATAGCAATAATTTTTCACTTCGAGTTGAAATTAAAAATAGATATATATATACACACACACATATATATAATTGTATATTTTAAATTTAGCTGAATAACTCAATTTTCAATTGGAACGATTATCATTTTTCCTCCTTAAAAATTAATAAAAATCTAGATGACATGATTCATCAATTCGCTATACCTTTGTTAGGTCAGAGATAGCGTCAAGTTCAAGTATCAACATGAGAAAACGAGATTAGAATCCTCTATCGTATAGCTATTAAAGACTTGACCACAAAAAATGACATAGCTATTTTTAGGATAACATAGGTAAGAAACTAACGTCTTTTGAGAAAAGTTGAGGTCAAAATAATTTATTTGAAATGAAAAATCATATTATTTTACATTTCGTTGAGTTAGATTGTTCTTATTCTGTAGATTCTGATACAAGGTTGTAATTCTAACTTTTTCAGAGTAATATTTCACTAATGGCTTGCCCCTGAAAGGAGGATGGCTTGCCCCTAAAAGGAGGCGCACATTGGAATAGCACCATAAAAAAGATTTGAGAGTGTTTTTGGTTTCCATTTTCTCTTTTTTTCCTTTTTGTTTTGGTTTTTTTTTTTTTTTTTTTTTTTTTTTTTTTTTTTTTTTTTAATAGAAAGATTTTAGTTGAAATAGCAGAAAGACAAGGACAGTAAACTTTCGGCAATGGCCTTTACTTTTCTTTTTCTCCACTGAGATTGATGTAGTAATAGCAATTGTTATTCACTTTATTTTTAAACTTTTTTTTATATAAAACTATGACCCAATTAAAGCTAGCCAATGAAATTCAGGGGTGAATTGTGTCCATGTCAATAGAAAAGGTCAAAAAAGACAAAAAGATTTTCTTTTTGCAAAAATATCCAAGCTGATGATAGCTTTAATCATGTTTTTCACGTTTTAATTAGCTTTTAGAAATCTTTCTTAATTTTCAAAAAGCTAGGATATTTTCATGATAAATTTGTTCTTAATTAATTTCAGAAATAAAATTTGGTTTTGTTGTAATTAATTTAAGCAGATTATTATATAAACAAGAATAGGTGACTAAATATGGTACAACAAGCATTTTAATTCCTAAACATATATATATATGTATATAGCATATACAAATTAGTAGCATCAAGAAGGATAAAGAAAATGGTAGTATTTTGTTAGTAGTAGCGCACTTGGTGGGCCTGCAAAACCATATGGCAAATGGTCCTTTCATAACCAAAATACCATTAAGTTGAATCACTAGGCCACACTTTGTTTTTATTTTTCTATTTATTTTATTTTATTTATTATTATTATAATATTTTGTCGAGAGGGTGATGTTGGGCATTTTACAGTACCCCATAATTTACCATAGGGATATCAACAGGGCGGGTTTAAGACCGGACACCCCTTTTCCAAACTCGGCCCATCAATTCAAATCTTTTTCCAAACCTAATTCAAGGTGCCACACATCGAGGTCGGGACGGGTTTGGGGCGCCTCGATTTATATATTTTTTTTAAGAAAAATAATTCAAACTAGAATAAATTTAAGATAAATTTTGTAATTTTTTTTTATAGTTTAGTAAAATATTTAACAATCATAATAACAAAAATGTTGTTAAAATTTAAAATTATCCTCATAAATAGAAGAAAAAGAAAATTTATAGTTAATAAAATAATATTTATTTATATTTTAATTATTAATCGGGATAGATTCAAGGCTTTGCGGGTTTTAAAGTCTCTTCTCAAACCCATTCCTGACTCGATTAGAAGCAGATTAAGTTGACATTCCTAATCTATCATTATACACATGCAACTCTTAATGGCCCTAATCTCCCATCTCATATCATCGATTTTTTTTTTTAATAATTCGAATAAAATTTCGAACCAATCTTTAAAGTGTGAGGCGAAAGTTTTTGCCATTAGTCCATTTTGTTGAAGAATTTGTGTTATGGACCCATGGTTGATGAATGGGAAGCAGTGGCATAGCCAGAAATTTTCTTCAGTGGGGGCAATTTTTAACAGCAATATATATATATTATTTGAACCAAAATAATATATGTAAAAATTAAACAGAATATTTTTCATATTCTGAAAGCACCCAGTCGAGTTTTCAAAATGTTCATGGCATAATAATGGTAAATTTAGATAATAAAAATATATATATATCAGATTATCTGTCTCCGCAGTAGTATTTGTTTGGATTTTGTGAATTTTTTAAATATATTTTTTCTTCCTAAATAAATTTTTTTTTTTTTTTTTTTTTTTTTTTAAATATTGAAGACTCGCCGAAAGAGAAATATTAAAGATTGAAAATATGATGGAAATTAACAACGCATTTGTTTGTGTTAAAGTCAAAAGTGTGAAAGAATATCTTATATTTTTTTAGGAAAATAGGAAATAATATAATATTTTGAGAAAGTGGAAAAAAAAATATTATATTTTTTGAAAAGATTATATTCTTTTTTTTTTTTTTATAATACCGTGAATGGTCATTTGGTTATATATATATAATATATATATGTGCAATGTCAATTTTTAGTAAGGACAATTATACAAATATAAAAATCTTTTTATATAAGTAAGGATAATTATACAAATATAAAAATCTTTTCATATAAAATTAAAAAAAAAAATTAAAAATTCAGTGGGGGCAGCTGCCCACTTGTCCCTATGTGGTCACGCCACCGATGGGAAGCCCATGAATTGTCCACTTCTTCCGTATGGATGTCTAAGTTTTAGAAGTCCTACATCATGGTGGGACACATTAGAGAATCAAAACAGTTTCTGTTTTAGGCCTCTAAATGAACAAATGAGAAGTATTCATTGCCCCACATGAATATTAGCACTTGAATATTAGCACATTGAGTGAATATTGTATATACATTTGTAACCCATACGGTTGACATACAAATCTTGGAGTGAATGATCGAATAGGTTTTGATTATACACTAGTTCACCAAATATAGAAGAACACATGGTCCTACCACTGGTAAGAACACATATATTCAACCAACTCTAATATCCTAAAACAGTATTATTCTATATATATACGCATATACTATTTATATATGTATAAAAATGATTACACGAAACTAACATATAAGCATGTATCATATCATCATTGAACAACCTAGTCGATTATTAAAAAAACAATAAGAACCTAACCAGATTAAAAAAAAAAATGAGGTATCTTGGATCATCGGAAGATCAAATGGGCAGATTGATATGTTTCTCTATCCAGTCTCGAAGATACCATTTTGAACTTATGAAAACTCATGTTCGATTGCAAAATGCTCCAGGAACAATAATCATTATCACGCTTCGAAATGATTTTTAAACAATTACTTAAAGTGAATTTTTAGACTTACAATTTTGTGGTTGGTCATGTAAGTAAAATATAAGGAAGTGGCATCAGTCACTTCCTTATATTTAGTAAATTTGACCAATCCGAACTTGTAAAATATCGCTACTCTTTATTAGCATGTGACTGAGGCTTTTAACTTTTTGATCATTATTTGTCAAATATTTCAAAATTTTTATTAGTGGTAGATTCTTACAAAGATTTAGCTAATCTTTTACATTTATAATTGTGCAGTATTATCTCCTATTTTTTTCTTTTATTTTTTATTTTTAGAGACAGTGTCATTTTGGGCTGTTTTAGGATTCCCAATGTTGTTATGTTTTGCTATTTATACCTACTTTACAAACCGAGGTATATAATTGAAGAATTTTTATCCCATAAACTAAATTATCGGTTTGAAAAATCACTTAGAATATAATTATTCGTTATAAATACTTGCACAACAGATCTAGTATATCAAAATTCGTTCGGTTTCTTTACATTTTGTGAATTCAGACTTCTTCTTTTTTTTTTTTTTTTTGGCAAATTAGGGAAAAGGGGACTCGAACACGGACACACTTACTCAGGGAGCTGGATGCTTTACCAACTAAGCCACTAGGTAATGCATGTAAATTCAAACTTGTTCAATTGTTCACTTGTGAACTCTCTTAGCTTCCGTATAGTCTCGTAGAGCTCAAAATAGATGTGCAGCATGGAACAAATCTCATTTCAAAAGAGGCTTCTTTCTTTTTTTTCTTTTCTTTTTTTGTATGAAAGACACACCAACTACATAGAGCATCCCTTAAAACATGCTTACAAACTAGGTTACTTTGCATCAAACTTAGAAGTACTTCCTCAAACTCCTTTCAGACAAGGCATGAGAATCCGTCTACTTTGACATGGCTCGTGCGTTTGTATGACAAAGATGCCAATGTTTATGCTGTGCTTTGGTCAAGTGCACCCACTTAACCAACCTTTAATACCTAAATTAGTACTGAAGTACCACTCTGAGTGAGCTTCCTTTTAACTTGCTTTGGCAAAATTCGATTATACATAGAGCACAAATTGATGTCCAATGTTTGA